CAGACAGAATCCTCTCTGCTGTTTTCTTTTTTTCTTTATGCTTACTACTTAGATTCTGAAATCATGTTGGATGCTTTGTATTTTTGTTGCTCTCATGTTTCGAACAATAAACATGAGTAGCTCAACTATTTTGGGGTCTAATCCCTACTATCTATATGTGAATGTTTTGATTCAAGTTCTGATATGAGGCATTATATCTAGTTTAAGTGTTTTAATTAACCTTTTAGTTAAACTGACTACTTAGCTAATTGTGTATGCATATTATGGAATCTTGAGAGGATGAACATAATTTTAGAATTGCTTGAACTAATCTATGATAACGAAAATAACAACCCTTGGTTTCAATCATCAATGAGAGTTAGTTGATTGGCATAGGTGATCACTAGGGCGTAAGATCTCAAAGGCTCAAGATAATGAATAATTATCACTGAGATGGAGGTAATTTGGTTATGCTGGGACTCATTACTGTTATCGAAATTGAACGTAGGGAATATAAGTGCCTAATCAAGCAATGCTCATATTTGCAAAAAGAACTACAAGAATCACAACATGATCATATAGATAAGAAGGAGAATAACCCTAGTTCTTCATCACTCTGTCAAGTGACTTTCTCACTCTCCCAAGTGATAATCTGTTCTGTTTCAGTTTCATACTTGCACTTTCAATCGGACTTTTATTGATTTACTGATGTCCCTGTGGATCGACCCTGCTTACTACTTGCTATAAGTTTTGAGTAGGTTAAATTTCTTTTTGGTTGTGTCAATGACCGTTTACCATTGACCCAGTTTCAGGTTCATGGAAGCAAGACTTGATCAAATCATTTTTTTCAGACAAAGAGGCAGCATGTATCCTTTCGATGATCTCTCAAAACTGTTCCTAGCCTAACAAATGGGTGTGTCATCATTCACAGAATGGACGATTCAGTGTGAAATCTGCTTATAACACACTGATGTATTCTTCTACCCTTGCTGAAAACCTGCATCCATTAACTTCTCTGTCGCCAGAAGATAAACTTTTCTGAAAAAGGCTTTGGAAACTTCGGCTGCCAACTCAAATTCTCCATTTCTTGTGGCATTGAGCTACAGATTCTGTGCTGAGTATTGAGAACCTTGAAAGGAGAGGATGCTATCCAGATTCGTCGTGTCCCTTTGTCGCAATAATGTCGGCTCCACTTCTCACTTGTTTTTTTGGTGCCTATTTGCTTCTAAAGTATGGTCTATGGCTGGACTTCATGATTGTATCTTGAGATTTCATCAACATAGGTGGGACATTTAGGTCAAGAAAATCATTGTGAAATGTGATCGGATGGTTGCTGAGCTCTTTGGGGTTATCTGAAATTCTCTTTGGTACGCAAGGAACGAGAATCTATTTGGGACAAGCTGATCGCAACTCACATAGTGGCATCCAAAGCAGCAAATGCTCTGAAGGAATTTCACTCGGCCAATGGTTCTCTGGAATCTCCATCTTCCGCTCTCCGTTCTTGTCATTTGCTAGCACCTAAAGAGCTAAAAACGTGCATCTACTTTGATGGAGTTGTCTCCAAGATCCGAAATTGCATTGGCCTAGGTGCATATGAGGAGTGAATCAGGTGGTTTTCTTCAAGCAAAAGGATGTTGTGTTGTTGGTGTTAATTCGGCAGAGATAGCTGAGTTTCTTGCTTTAAAGGAAACTCTTCTCATGTTAAAGCAGCTTAATCTTCAAAAAGTGACCATTATGGGTGATTCTTAGGTTGCAATTCTTGAAACTGTGAGAGAAACAGATTGCTCAATCTCTTGTTTATGAGTCATTTATTAGATAAGGCTTCTATTATCGGAACTTTCCTTCTCTGCTTTGTATTGGATTCCTAGGATACAAAATAGTGTAGCTCATATCATTGTTACCTATTCTAAGTCCCATGTCATAACTTTCAAAGCTTGGTCGACATCGCCAAGTTTTCTGTATCAATCAGAGATAGTTGATTTTCAATAATATCTTCAAAAAAATAAAATGGGTTTATGACAATAAATTAAAATGTGGTCCAGAATTGTGTCTAAAGCGCAGTTTCTAGACAACGAGTTAGGGTTTAGTGGTAAGACGCCCCACATGTTGACCAGTAGGTCACGGGTTCGAGTCACGCCAGGTAAGGGTGTGCACGGTCTGGGTGGTCCGGTTTTTAACCTAAACCGTGAACCAAACCATTAGAATGGTTTGAAAATTTTTTAAACCAAAACCAAACCGTTTACATTATGAAACCGGACCAAACCAATCCATAATCACCCGTCCAGTTTCTATGGTTTCCCAGTTTTTATTTGACTTTGGAATTTTGTTCCCAAAACTTTGGCCTTTCGTTTTTTCTTTTTTTTTGACAAAAAAAATAGAGTTTTTATTTTTTCTTTGTAACAGAAAGAATATGGCATTTATTAACAATATATTCAACACCGCACAAATCTCTAATTAAAATTAAACAAAATCTATAATGTTCACCCAAAAAAAGAAAAAGTTTCTAACTAAAATTAAATAACATCCAAAATGTTAACCCAAAAAAGGGAATTGGAAAAAAAAAGGAATGGAATAAAACGTGTGTGATGAGAATCAAATGGGATCATGGGAACTAAACGTAGGTAAAATGGACAAGAGTTAACCATTTCAACACATTGAACTTTGCTTACTCATATACTTAAAATATTTATATAAATATATATATATATATATAATATAAACGGTCTGGTTTGGTGTGGATGGCGGTTTTTGAATGCTAGACTATAAACCAAACCGTTCCTACCAGTTTCTAAATTTTGAATCTCCTGATTTCGAAATAAAACTATAAAACCGATTTAAAAACCAAACTGCAGTTTGAATTGATCGGTTTGACTGGTTTGAACCAATCCATGCACATCCCTAACGCAAGGGGTAAGTGGAAAATCACTATTGATCCTTTAAAAAAGAAAAAAAAAGTGCAATTTCTAATTCTGTGATAGGTGGAATTAGAAATCCTATTTTCAAATCGAACAAGAAAAAACTTTCCCAACCACCATCAGAGCACCTCCAGTGCCTCTACTAAGTGAGCCGGTAAACGGTCACCCGAATTTCCAACCAAGTACCCAAAACTAAGGCTATCTAGCTTCCTGGCACCCATGCCACCATGGAAGACAGCTGATGTGGTTGTCTCGTGATGATTCAAGGTGATAATGAATAGTGATCAGTGGATATAAAAATATTAATAAAAAAATTAGGTCTACACAATCTTTACCAAAACTACAGCCCAAGAGTGTTTGGGGAATATCAAAACCACATTCATCGTTAACAAAACAAAGTTAAAAGTATTACAGCCGAAACAGGTTTGAGAAAATGTTGGGATATTCTTACTGTTCCTTGTTAATGGTAACCACCCTAGTGGCGGTAGCTAACCACCACCATGTTCCGGCAACCCAAGATTATAACCTCCTACATTTACAGGCATTTGATTAGTTATTAGCAACTACCAAAAAAAAATGACATACTATATTAATTAAAAAATGTGGACGCTTTTTGAGGCAAAGCGTTAAATACAATAATATTTTAAGTTACGTTTCAAGAATATAAAAACAAACAATATTTGTGATTGAAATCCAGATCAGATGATAAGTAATATAATCCATTAAGTTTTTATACACGTCTCAAATAATAGTCCATGTGGAGTAATTCAGAAAATAATATTCCCTCCATCTCCAAATGATAATCCAATTTGCATTTTCATTTTTTATACAAATTAAACTAAAAATAAAAATTCAAACAGGACAATCATTTTGGGACAAAGAGAGTAGTTTTTAAAGTGCATTATTCACATTATTCAAATACCTCTCGTAAAGAAATTTCTTAAATTTCTGGAAGTTTCCATATAAAATAAAAAGTTAAGAAAATAATAATGTAAAAAATTCTGCAATTTCTTCTACAAAAAATCCCGGTAATAGCTGTTGTTTGGGCGGCTGGTGCTCAACTCAACTGATGTCGGATTAATCATTATCGGAGTTAAGATGCTAAAACGATAAAGAAAATCATTACCCCCGGCATTAATAATCACCAAAACTTCAGCGACAATCTGTTGAGCCTATTGCCGACTTCCCAAAGTAGCAGTCAGCCTGGAAACATATTCCTTAAGATATTCCGGTTATTTTGACGCCTGAAGCACTTCTGCGATCGCATACATATTGTCATCGAATCCAGAACAAGCCGACGCGAAGGAAATGCCAGAAATCAGTTTATGATCTGATAGATTTGGTTGTGAAATTAAGTAGATTTAGGATTTTTTTTTTTTTCTTGATTTTGACCAAGTGCGACGTACAGATATGTGCCTGCCTAGCTGGAAATTGAAAATGAGCATAGAAAATGATTCAGCGGATAAATTTATTCAAGAAGAATCAGTTTTCTATATCAATGAAATCGATGTATGTCCGACATATACTGCATTAATTAACAGAATTTTTTCATGAAGTGTATATTTTTTAATTATTGCGATATGAAATGTAAAGAGTTAGAGGTAGTGAGATGTGATCATATTTTATTCGTTTTATGTGGGTTCTTGTTTTGTCTTTGGGTACAATGATTAATCATTAATTAAGTTTCGAAAATAATCCTTGGAGTGGATGATACCTAAAGTAGATACCTCTTGGTCAAATTGAGCAATATTGAACCTGTTAGTATATATGTATAGTTTTTGGTATTTGGAACTATGCGAAATGAAAATAATCTATATATTTCATACAGTCTATCTTGCATCTATATATTTCATACGGACGAGCTTGCATAACCGAATAATGAAGGCGAAGATATTTCAACAATAACATTGATGAATGAATGGATTTTTTGTGTTGAATTAATGATTATAATCTGGAGTGTCTGTTAATCTCAAACCCTAATACATAGTGTATTTTGCTCTGAATATTTGGGTCACGTTACACTGAATTGGAAGATTTGATTATAAATGACAACGGTTGAAAAGATTAAAAAAAAGGCATGGGAGAAAAAAAATGCAATCAAAGAATGATCAACTAATTAATGAAACCCCAAACATCATTATACACACTTTTTAACTTTGAGATGTTGACACAAGTAATGAGTACAAAATATCGTAAGAGATCTACACATTATCGATACAAAAAAAAAATGAGTAACAAATGAACATTCCAATTTCGAATGCAAAACTACAAAAGAATTATGAACTCGATGACTAACCACTATATACAATGTTACAAATAAATATGTAGGAAAAATGGTTTTTGAAGAAAACAAAAAGATTTATCATGTATTTGCTCTAATTTGCAACTTTCCTTTTACACTAGTAGTATGCTCGCTCCCGCATCAAGGGCTCTACTTATTGGACCATTGAAATTCTATTTCGAGATTTCTTGAAGGTCCGCTTTTGCTCTCTGGCAGTAAAGTATATTCGCCGGCCACGGCACCGAGCATCACCACTCGGTCAATCTGGATTGTGACCTTTCCGAATGAGCTCTGTCACCAACAAAAAAGTTCAAAAAATGAATTGGGATTGTTTCCAGAAGAGAGCATGAGGAGTAGGGATTTTATAAGATGTTTAATTACCTTCCCCATTTTGCTCTTATTCTTGCATGATATGTGAAGTTTCTGTCCTTTGGGAGGGCTTTCAAAGGACCACGCAAAACTCTCATCCCACTCGGGATTAGGACCCGTAGATACAACCTGACACACAGAAAAGAAACAATTTTCAGGGTACATAAAACATGATGTGTAGTTTTAAGGCAGTTAATTCATTGGTCAATGCATTAACAAAGCTGAAAACGAGTTTTCTTGTCATGCATGTGGAATGGTGCTTAGAAGTTTGAACTATGTAATTATCAAAGGGAAAAGGCTTTTTCACACACTTCCGAGTTCCAAAGGAAATGAGAGAAATCTTATAGGGTTCAAGATCCCTCCTACCAACAATTTTGCAAGAAACAGAATAAATTTATCTATTCCTTCACGTAATGCTAGGGAACTCAACAGCTTGTGTCATTCCCTACTCCTGTTCACAAATTCGAATACGTACTACTAAGGATGCATGTCTCCCATGTGGTTCTTCTACCGGGCAACAATTTCAAGGTGAGCATACAGAATACAACAGAAAGAAATGAGAGGAAAAAGAAGCTGAAATCGTACCTTAGTTTGTCGAGGTTCTGTATTTCCAAGTGTCAGCTTGCAATAAACACTAGGGTTGCCCACTGACTGCCTCATGTTGTTGCCTCGCTTTATTATCACCATTAGTGTCCCCGGCAAACACTGCAATAAGAATTCTGCCTTCTCCTGGAACCGAGGGGGGCCAGATTGGATCAGGTATTGCAACAATGGTATAGCATCAGCAGCAGCTATTGATTGTGCTCGAGAGACTTCTGCAGGGCATGCTGACCAAGCTTGCCTGAGAAGGAATAATGCATCCAAGGCAGCTTCTTGTGCTGCCTCTGAACCAGTCTTAAGAGATGTAACCAAATGGGGAATGCTCAGTGTAGCAGGTTCTGTCGCCCTCAAACGGGGGAAGTTACCAAAGAGCGCATTTAAAGCCTTCAGATACTCTTCACTCACTGTTCCAGTAGCCCATAATTCTTTCTCAATTGCAGCTACAGAAGGCCAAAAATCTAAGTTAGCATCTTGAAATCACATGTCCCAAATAATGATAATGAAGCTTGGGTATGAATGACCAAAGTATTCAATCAACAAATGTCTAAGGACACTACATTGTTGTAAATTAGTAAATCTACAAGCTGAAAGAAACAAAAACATGTGATTGTTTTGTGAGGGGAAGATTTTGTAATCATTTTAAAGCAGACAATAAAACCACCAAGGTATGAGAAGATAGCGCTTGGGAAAATCTCAAGGAACCCATAAAGAGCAGAGATGCAGCAGTGCAACTATACTGTGCACGTGCAAAAATAATGAAAAGCAAGCTCCAACTCTATACTAAGCAAGGAAAAAAAATTAATGAAAAGGTGTTCGATTCTGCTCCATACAAGTCTAAAAGATGAGGAGTTTACCAGTAATAGCTCTGACAGTCTCACTTGAAGCATACTCTTGAATGGTATTATTGGCGAAAAGGTATTTGATAAACATTGCAGCTTGAACTGAGGTTTCCGGATCACTAGAACCGATCAGATCCAGCACCACCTGGACACCACCAGCCTCTGCAACGGCTCTTTTATTAGACCGGCTATACATAACAAGGTTCTGCAAGGCACATATAGCTACAACCTTCATCTCTTCTGTTGGCTGATCCTCAAGCAAATTCACTAATGCCCGACAGGCTGCAACCGCATCTGCCGTTCGAGCGAGAGCTTCATTCTGGAATAGATCACCAAGAGCAAGAGTAGCCAGGAGTCGAGCTTGTTGACCTTGGGTTTGTGGATCCAACAGATACTGCGATAATGGCAAGATTGCAGATTTGGTTGCTTTTGTTTCTCTAATTTTGACATTGTTCAACAGCACTTCAAGCAGCCTCGCAGCAGTTTCTTCACATTGATGTGCTCGAAGAAGCTCCAAAAGAGCCTCAATTGCACCACTTTCAGCCATTGCTTGAGCACTTGTGGAATCATCACTCTCCAACACCAGAAGGGCATTTAGTGCACCCACTACTGTGCTTTCAGAACCCGAACGAAGTAACCTCACCAACACGGCTACTGGCACTTCCAAATAAAACTCTGAACTATATTGCAGAATACTCGAAAGAACGGAAGCCGCAGACTCCCACAAGGCATGAGGAAGTAAGGGATCAGCTTGTAGCACTACTTTTGACAGCTCAGCTACACCACCCTCTTTGGCAATTTCATTTGGCCAAGTTAGAGCAACCCCAACCAGTGCCTTCACAGCTCTCTGTTGCAAAATAGGTATACCTGACCCAAGAACTCGCACAAGAGGACCAATGACTTGTTGTGTTACTGGATCCTTTTGGAGATGTTCTTCCAGAAGAACATGAGAAAGAAGCTCAGCTGCCAACTGCTGAACAGCAGAAGCAGGGGAATCTAGCAAAGGGATTAGTGGTTCTATAGCTTGGTGAGCTGTTAAATTGTAGTCGGCACGGCATTGCGGATGCTCCAAGATGTTAACAAGAACCTGCAAAGTGCTGTGTTGTCCATCAGGCCCAAAGTCTAGCCTTGTTAACATAACAAACAAAGGCTCAACTACTTTTGCTGCAGATGAACCCTTAGCAATTGTAGAATTATTGGTGAGTATTCTCAGTAATTCAGCAAAAGCGGCACATAGAAAATCAGGAGCTTCGTGAAGGATGTCAAGCACACACTCAATCACCCCAGATTTCACCATTTCCATCTTGCAAGCGGGCCTGTCCTTACCCAACTTTACGAGAGCTCTGGAGATAGCCTCGTGAAGCAAATAATTCCGACCATAGAGGAGGCCAACAAGAGGGATAACTGCACCATGTGCAGCAACCAGCTCTGCTAGTTGCTCATCATCTAGTAGTTTTTCTAATGCACGGACAACAGACTGATGAGCAGGACTAAACTCACTTACAAGGAGAGAAACAAGGGGTTCAACACAGCGAGCTGCAGCCATTGTGGATCGAATTCTTGTATTTCCAAATAAAACACAGCACAGTTCAGCGGCATCTCCCTTCAATTCCATAGAGCAGTTGGATGAGAGGATCCTGCAAAGAACATCTACAGCATTCATCTCAACATCTGCCACAGCTAGGGCTCTAGATGGATTCTCGCTTAGCAACCTAACAAGTGCAGCAATAGCAGCATGTTGTTCTTTCTCCAAACCAGTGTTCAGAACTTCCACCAATGGTTGAACAGCTTGCCTTGTAGATTCAGCATTTCTTATATGGTCAGCAGTGAAAAGGTTTTCCAAGGCCTTAGCAGCACTATACCTTGCAGCTCTTCCACCTAAGCGTAAGACAGCCACAAGTTGACCAACAGCTCCAAAGGCAGATTCATGTCTCCGAATTTCGGCAGTGCTGAATAAAATACCAAGGAGATCAGTAGCAGCTTCCTCGGTGGCATCTTGAGGACCCAATGACAAATATTTAGTCAGAGCTTCCAATGCCCCTGATTCGACCATAACAATCTTGTTAGAAGGGCAATCTCTAGCGAGTTGGATAAGTAGTCCCAGAGCCAGAAAAGGAGCGCCTGGACGATCTGGAATTGGTTTTAGCAAATCAACTAAAGCAGGTATGGCTTTCCTAGAGGTAGCACCGACCCTTATATCATCTACCCTAAACAATCTTTCTAGAGCAACCTGGTCTGGATAACGCACCAAAAAGAATTCTTCTGACAATTCTAGCAGGTCTTGAATGTCACCATCAGCACAGCCAAGCAAGGTTATAAGTCCAACTGCTGCCCCTGAATTTGCAACAGATAGAAGAGTTCCTCGGCTGCCATGACAAACAAGGCTGGCCATAACTTGAGCAGCGAAGTACCTACTAGCTGACTCCTCTGATTTTAGTAAATTAGCAAGTACTGGAACAGCTGTCATTGTTGCATGTGCCCTGATGATATCTCTATCTTGAAACAGAACTGCTAATAACAAGGCAGACATCCATATGCTGTTGTCCTCGCTAAAATCATTCTGTAGAATTAACATATAATCAACATGGAGGCTTTCATCAAAAAAAATATTAAGGAGGATAAATCTTCAGAAAGCTGAAGCCTATAGTCTCAATACATTTAAGAGGTTTCCTACAGGCATGTACAGTAGAATAAAGAGTTGCTTGCTGAACAGAATCAAGGGTGAGATTCAATACCTGGGAGTAGCGTGAGAGAGACTGGGAGATTTTATCAGTGAGAACTTCCAGTGCACCTGCTTCCATAATCTGAATTTTACACTTGTCATCACGGCTAGCAAGAGCAGAAAGCAGCCAGATTGCTATGTTGACTCCAGAAATCACTGATGTGTTCTTCACCATTTCTTCATTACTTGCTTCATCTTCAATATTCCTGGAAATGCTTATGGTATCTTCACCACTCTTATCTTCATCATCTGAAGATTCAATAGAGTTCAGCATTCCTACAAGGGATTGAATGAGTCGGGTGCATAAACTGGACACATTCAAATCTTCAACTAGTCTCTGGTGATTTACTTTTCCAACACAGACGAGCAGTGCACTTCCTCCAATTTTGATCCTTGCATCAGAAGAATTGACAACCCGTTCTGCAATTGCCAAAATGCATCCAGGGGCAGAAACAACTGCATTTCCAAGAACAATGGGCTGAGCGCGGCAGAGTAATGATAATATTTCTATTGCTTTGTCCTGCAATGATGGAGCTGCATCAGGAATGCACACAACTATTGGTGTTATGCTATCTGGAAACTCTGAAAGCACAGCGCACGCAGGTTTAATTCGTCCATTAGCACCCTCTGACCTAGAGAGACAAGCAAGAGCATCTAATGCCTCTGACATAGCGTGAGAACTGGCATCTGCAGATTCAAGGAAAGAAACTAAAGCGAGAACTGTCCCTGAACGATTTACACAATCAGTTAAGGAAGGATCAATTGGACGAGCTCGGAGAAGTCGGCCAATTGCTGCTGCAGCAAGGGTCTTTCCAGCAGTTTTTCCATCACGCAAAATTCTTGTAGCAGGCAACACTATTTCTTCTGGAACAGCTTTGGCTGAAACTTCACGATCCAAAAGAAGATTTGCCAAAGCACATACAGCCTGCTCAGCCACTTGCAAGGCTGAAGAGTTAGCAAGCACCACCAATGAAGGCAACACATCTCTAGCAATAGTGGCCACATCCCGGTTCTCTTTGATTGAAAGAAATATCGCAGCAAGGCATGAACAAGACTCCATTAAGATGCTATCTGATTCTTCCTTGAGTAGTTTAATCACTGATGAAAGAGTCTTAACAGAGACATTGCTTTCACGCAAGTCCTTCCTCAATTCAAAGATTCCAGCAAGAGCTGAAGCAGACTTAGCTTGAGTCTCCTCCTTATTAGAACCCAAGATTTTTATCATCGTCTCAATTGCATCATTTGCTGCACTGCCTTCTCGTAGCATATCATTGAGGGGGGCCACAGAAAGCAGCATTTTTAGTGCATCCAATACATAAACCTTGGATTCAGGTAGCTCACTGGTCAATAATGCAGCAAGTTGACTGATCGTAGCTGTATCTGATTTGTGAATCAAATGATTTAAAGTCTTTGCAGCAATCTCCTTTCCATGAGAGCTACCATTCTTTAGTAGCCATAGTAGAGCTGGAACAGCATCAGCACTTTCAACACATGCTCTTATGTCTTCACTATGGTTACATAGGTTCCCAAGTATTGTAGCAGAATCTTCCTTCGCTTTCGCAGATCCTGTCTCCAGGATTTGAACAAGTGGAGGTATTCCACCAGCAGCTGTTATGGCCCATTTACTTTCATCATTCTCATTCGACAAAAGACAGAGCAACGCAACGGCACACTCTTGTTGCTGCTCTGATGAAAGACCAAGAAGTGATATCAATAGTTGAATCCCTTCACGACCCTGAAGGGCATGCCACAAACTACCTTCATCCTTGCAGAGAATGAGAAGAGACTTAATCAACTCATCCTGAACTTCATTAGTTGCCATGGTAATTAAACCAACAAGCAACCTTTTGGCATCAGAATTTGCAAGTCTATTAGAGAGGACAAAATTTCCATACAAACTGGCAAGGGCTTCTATGGTACGCTCCTGCACCAAAAATGGCAATTGAGGTTTGAACTGCTTGACAAGTGTCTGCTCCACCTCCTCAGGATCAGAAGCTCTTGCGTTTTCTGCTTTATTGTCATATATCATAAGCGCTGAAGCCAAAGCTCCAAGTGTGTCAGCCACCTGTGTAGGAGAAGAGCATGATTCAAGGCTCTGACCAAGACTTGAGATGACATATGACAAACCACCGGAAATGTTAGCTAGCGCACACATTGCATTCTCCTGCAATGCTTGAGCAAATTCACCCTGCATGAATTCTTTTGAGGGAGCTATTGTAGCATTTATCAAAGCAGGTATTCCATTGCAATTAGCTATCTCACGCCTTGCCTCCTTAGACTGTGCTGAAAGAGATTTAAGAGCTGCGGCAGCTTCTGCTCTAACAGAGGCTTCATTTCCAGGCCCGAGTAATTTGAGTAGCTGTTTTGTAGCTTCTGCTGCCAAGACCATGGAACAAATTGATGCATCTTCCATCATCATACATGCCAGGAGAAAACATACATTAGCTTGAGTACTTGGTTGCCCAGTTTTTAGCAATTTCACAAGTATATCAATTCCTCCAGCTTCTACAGTGGCTGGCCAAAATCCCTCTGTGCTGGTAGACAGGTTTCGTAAAGCACCAGTAAGTAAGTCATCAACAACATTTCCAGCCTTCAGGCCCTTTTGTAGTTGTTCCCACAGAACTGGCACAACTCCTTCAGTTGAAAAGATTTTTGAGCCAACATGATCCTTTGCACCACCTTGAGATACAGCATGTATAGTCTTCGCGGCTGCAATCTGCCCTTCTGCTGAACTTGATTTCAGAAGACCAAGCAGTGGAGGTATACAACCTCCGAGTAGTACTTTTACCCGCAATTCATTCTCTTTACATAAAGAACATAAGACTGTAGCGGCCTGCATCTTTACTCCAAGTGAACCTGAACGAAGAAGTGACACAAGCACTGGAACTGCCTGAGAATGAGATCCAACTGCACTGAAAGCATTTTCGCGAGACTGAATAAGATCTAGCAATTGCCTCAAGGAATGTTCTTTTTCCTGTACTGATGAAGAGTTCTGCCGCAATTGCTCAATGCACTGGGCAACACTTGCTAGTGTCCCATCTGGATCCTCCATGTTACTACGCTCCCTGCAAACAATTAAGAAACAGGACAAAACAAGGAAATTGTTAATTTCAGGGTTTTAAAACAGATGCATAAGATCACCAACAACAGTCAATTTGAATGGGGCTTTGCTAGCTTCAGGTTTTGACTTGTACACAACTTCATCATTGAGGATGCAGTAATTATAAGACCATGAAGATTCAGGAATAAGTTTTCTATACTGAAGATAGCCTAAGATTGAGCAGCAAAAGACCTAATTCCCATCCAGACAATGTAACTATTCCATCTACGAGTTTATTATGACAAGGCAATTAAGAGGAATTTATCTCTGTTTCATATCTTATCTCATGCCATACACCTATTGCATGGCATACATCCAAAAAGGAAAATTAAGTAGCTAGGATTCAGAAAGAACCCATAATTCCATCTTCCAATGATTTAAGTCAAGTTATTCCAAATATGCGCTGGGATATTATCAGCATATGAAAAATAAAAGCATTGGGATGTACAAAAATGGCACGTTGTTATATCTGCTTTCTCAAACAAAAGTTGTATCAATTCAAGACTTAAATGCTTATTTGAAATGGTCAGAGGTTAATTTAAGCTACTGTCATCCAATTTGCCAGGTGAAATAAGATGCTTTCACATGTCAAACCTAAATGGCTACATCTACATAAAACCAATATCAAGGTCCCCAGATAGAAGTTAATAAGGCAATGAAAGTCCAGAAGTAGTAGGCACATGGCCCGTAACTTATCATCAAAAATTCAAAACTACAAATTGAAACAAGAGAGAAGCTTCGATTTCTTGTTTTAGAAAGAGTATTGAGAAAGGATATAAATCCAACCTTGAACCCATCTTCATGAGAGAATGAGGAGTTGGGGGCTCTTGATCTTGGGGTTTGACATCCCCATTTCTCTCCTGCAACAAAACGTGTGACAGTCTTAGTTACCATGCTGCAGAGGTTACTAGTACATCGAAGGTTCACATAAAAACCAAATTGCCAACAAACAGATTTTTAAAAAATTAACAAATTTGCAGACAGTTGAACATCTTAACTACAAAAGCGAATTTTGAGAAAAGCATAGGAAACTACAAAGCTTTCCAAGTGAAAATTCACAAATGAAGAAAGTGATTGTCCTCTAAAACGTTGGAAACCCAAAAACAACAACATAAGAAAGGGCAGGAATGAAAAAATTTCAGCAAACTCATTTCAAGACTGATATGCCTCCAATGCATGTCTTTGAGAAGGAGCGCACAAATCAAGCACAATAGAAACACATGTCTAGAACAACTACAGCTTTGCAGGCAAAGTGTGATCAATAATAATTTTAAGAACTAGTTGCGCTGCAGGAGATATCCTTAGGGTAAAGAGCATCGAAATGTCATATGGAATGTTAAAAATAAAGTCCGTATTGGCCAAATCATAACCCAAATTAGGTAGCATGTGACCCAGGACATCATGCCAATACCAAATGACTAACAGCTGAAATGCTCCTACTTCAGATTCACAGAGAGAGGCAAAAGTTCGATTTAGATCCTTAAGCAGACAAGAAAATTAAACAATTGTGGCAGAAATTACCAAGTCACCGGAGGGAAGGCTGCTGCCATTGGTGGCAGGAAACCTCCAAGCAAGTGTTGCCGCCAGCTTTACTGTGATCCAGAGATCTTCACCTTAGATCTGACTCACCCCACTTCGCAGCTGAAGCTAACTACTTAGCTCAGCTTCGCCTACATTCACCGCAACGAAAAACTCAAAATGACAGTCGCAGAAAAGATTAAAATCCCATTTAGGATAAGAGCAAGCAGGAGAGACATAGATCAAATCCAAACTGCTAAAATCCAAAACTACCTGAGCACTAATATAACTACAAATTCCACCAATTCACAGTTCCCCAAACAAAATCTTACCAAGTCAAGTCAAATTAGGAAGAATGTGTTCAAGAGAAGTCAAATCAAGTAAAACCCACTAAAATTATCCACTAAATTCACTAGATCACAATGCCTGCACACCAACTATTGCAACTTTAAGCTCTTCTTTCCCCAATAAACTCACAAAACTATGCCATCTTACAAAAAAACGAATCAAGCAAAATACCAAAACACAGAAACAAGCCCGCATTACCTTCTTTTCTAGATCAAATGGTCATGAAGGGAGTGTGTAATGTAGCAATTAACCGACCAAGATACAAACTTTCAGTCTTCTTTTTCTTGTTTCCCCCTTTTCCTTCTTCAGGGTGTAATTGATTTTGCACACACTGTGGGTGTGATGTGATGAACTCGAGTAAAAGAGGTTTCGTAGTAGACAAGCGAAGGAGGAACAAAAACAACCCACCAAAAAAAGAAATGAATTTGATTGAATAGAATTGATAGAAGTTTAATAAAATGACAACCCAATAAGAGTGACAGAATTTACACGCGCTCTGGAAGAAAGAGAAGAAAAGCGACAAGAACCATGTGTGTCTGCGAGTGTGTGTGTGTGTGAGAGAGAGAGAAGAGGAAGAGATCAAAGGAATGAAGGTGCCTTTGGATGGCTGTATTGTAGTAATCTCTTCCAATGGTCCACCGACAGTTTGGGTTTCACTGGAAATTTTTTTGCCCAAAAAGAAAAAAAAAAAACACAGAGCTTGAAAATTTCAGAGATGGATGAAATTTGTTAAAGGAAAGTTGTTGTTTTGCTGTCACTATCTTCAGTGACTTCACCGTTTTGCTGCTTAGATTTTGATTACAAATTTACAGATTACAGTTGCCTTCCGGCTGGAATTTTTTTTTTTTTTTTCTGGGTTGAATTTTTTTGGTTCGGACAATAAATCCCCATTTTTCGGTGGATGTTAGTAATAGCAATTTTATTTGCATTTGATACTCCGTTCATTCCAAAATAAGTGTCGTCCTACACTCTGCACATAGTTTAAGAAATTCTTAAATAGGGTAATAAAATTACTTGAATATCATCAACTAACCCCATTATAAAATTATCCACCAATAGCATCAACTCTTTTGAGGGTAATTTTAAAAAATTTTGACAAAAAGTGTATTGAAATATGAGAACGACACTTATTTTGAAATTTCTCCATTTTGTTAAAACGACACTTATTTTGGAATGAAGGGAGTACATTGTAACCTTTGAAATTTGTTTTCCTTATCATAACCATAACGTCACAGTGGTAGAAAGGTCAAGAAGAATTTTGATGAGTAAAAATTACTTGACCGAAACTCGTATACATATTTTTAATGCAATGACAATCTTTTAACTATTTTGTGAGATACTTAATTTCTAAATTATTTCAAAATAATATATATGTGCCGTAAATTATTATCGTGTTTAACTGTATAATTATATGAAATATTTTATTCTTATAATTCAATTCAAAACCTCTTTATTCTTTTCTCGTTCACAATTCTTTGGCATATATTTACTCCGTTCTAGAAAAATAGTTTATATTGAATTTTAAAATTTATATAAAAAAATAATAAAAATATTAAAATTCAGCGTAAACTATTTTTTGAGCACTGAGAAAATATATTAGTTGCTATTCTTTATGTATCTTTATTATAGTAGAAATGCATATTTTTTACATGTGCGGTAGGATTCAAAGTGGCTTCCTTTGATCTCTAAAGATTAAAAATCATGTTTAACTTTCTTCCATTAACTAATATTCAGAAATATGTGTAAAAATGATTGCGTATTTAGTATTCACTCTGTTAATTTCAGTCATTTTCGGACGATGTGAATAGAAATTATTTTTCCTTTGGCTGGAGCATACCAAGCCAACTGCGAGTTATATACACAAAATCCAGTATTATTGATCAAATCACATCGAAAAAGGAAACTACTTGAGGAATTTGATCTTATCGTACCCAACAATACCAAATCTTTCTTTAATTGTTAATTTCATTTGTAATCTTACTGTAGCAGATTGTTTTCAAATCGTTGCTCTTGATTTTAAACATAGAATAGTGACTCCTTTCAGAAATTCCTTTTTTTCCCCCTTCTTTTTGGCATAATAAGAGTCTTATTTTACAATGAATTTACCTTTATCTTTCAAGAACTTTTATCAATACGATTATTAGCGATTTTAAAATAACGTAAGGATGTAAACCCCCAAAAAAAAATGTTATGCATCATTCAAATTATGTATTCAAACTAAAAAAATCAGTTTGAAGTGACTGTGTCAGCCGGCAATATTTTTACTGTCAAGGAAAACCTAACACGTAAAAAAAAAAAAGAAAAAGCATAAATCTAATGACAACGTTTGTATCATCGGCAAATTATATTTACTTTTTAGTTATTATGAACTTTAACAAAATGAAAAAGAGATCCCATTTTTGTTGTATTTTTATAATGTTAAGAGTTTGTTACACTTGGAACCTAATTTATTTAGTTTAGAACATATATTTGGTGGTTTCAATCATAAAATAGTGCACTAAATATGATCATAATGGTTTGGAATGAATAGGACATCATACCAAATCACCCGCCAAAATCATCATTGATTTCTTACCTCAAATTATCATCTCTCTTGTTGTCTAAGATTGACGCATGTTTTTTCCTCTCTTTTTCCTTCTTCCTAATTAAAAAAAATTGGTTAATCTTTTCTGGTAGAGAGGTGCTGCAAGTTGAATTTGTGGCTGGCTACATAATGATATTACTAATAATGTAATCTTCACATGGCCATTCTGTTGATGCACCACAAATACAACTTGTTTTTTAATTCAGTTGTTCATGAATTTGACCCCAATTATTCTTTTTATTAAATCTCTCTCTCTCTCTCTCTCTCTCTCTCTCTCTCTCTCATAAAAATGAAAAATAAATTAATTAATTAGGTGGTTTTTTTAAAAAAAGAAAAAAACTATTTAATTGTGTCTCTTTTGAAGGTGCGGTGGGAAAGGCATTAATTAATTTGTATGATCAAAGGACATTTTGATCAAACCAATTTGACAGAGAATATTTGATAGATATTACCACCGATTAAGATTTCAAAACTGACAAATGATGGAGGTATATCTGTTTTTCTTTTTTTTTCGCTTTGGAAATTTTTAAGTGACTTCTCAAATATTAAGAAGCTTTGTTATCAAGTCTGTGACTTCCCAATGTATTTCTGTTTTTTTTTTTTTCAGGGTTTTATGCTATTTATGTCTCCTTTTAGAGTTTCTGGGTTTTTTTTTAGGCAGCAGCTTTGGAACTTCATATTTTACTCCGCAAAGATGTCTCTGGTCGGGAAAAAATGGCCGACGTGATAGCAGATAGTACTTTGGGTCTAGGATATTGGAAAATCATTCTCTGGGCAATTAGTAGTTTGATGCGTTTTTCCCTCCTGAGAACTTTCGGTAAGTTTTCTGGGATCAAAATTAGTCGGGACAGTGAATTTACCCGAAACAAACCTGTAAATAAAAATTCTGCATTCATCTTAGTAGACCAGTAAAAGGAAAGCCTACAAACTGATTGTTTAATCAAGGCAAAAAAGTTTGTTCCCATAACTTCATATTGAAATGCCTCAAAAGATTGTAGCAGTTCATCTATCTCTATCTGAACAATTATTCATTCTGTGTATAAACCCGAAAACTCTTTAACAGGAGACCGAATTAGTAGTACTAAGTATTTTACATCTTTGCGCCGTAGGCATTATAGGATTTCCACAGAGCTGCAACAAGAGAAAAAATTGCTGCAATTGCCTAAAAGTTTAGCACTTATACACTGTACTGACCGTAATGTTCTCGTGGCGAGGACAGAATGGAGAAAATTTTTACCCTCAAAAGTATGGTATCATGTTAAGCTGATTGAAGTTGCATAAGATTGTAGAAGGGTCAATGCTTGCTCTGTAATAGCTCTATTCCTCGCCCGCGTAACCCAGTCACCAACAACTTCTGCTGCTTGGGTACCTTTCACCCCATTTTCAAGAGCATCTGCAGCTTCGCTGAGCTTTCCTTGAGCTAAGAAGTTGGCAACTTTGTTCATCAGAGATTCAATTCCATCACCGGACTGGTCAGCCTCACTAACCTGCAGATACAAAAGGAAGCAAGGCAAGATTAAGTATCTACATTCTACGCAATCAGTAGTCATACTTGCATGATGTAGAAAACAAACCTTTAGAGTGGAAGCTACATTCGCCAATGAATGTGACAAAATCCCTCCTCCTCCAGGGGGAATGTAGCTGAAATGACGAATTGTTCCTTTCAAGGCATTAAACTGCACAAATCGAAGGCAAACTAGTTTTGTTACCAAGAAATTCAAGTTTCCGAGTTATCTATGAATCATACTACTATGAAATACACCAGATCTACTTCGGGGGAAAAATCAATGCATATCCATAATCAAACTGATAAGAAACACTACCATCCTCGCAGAACCATTAGCTTTCATAAGCTACCTTAAATACCAGATCAGAGATTTGCCGGTCACAGGAGATACAGAACGAGAAACAGTGTACTATGAATAAAATAACAATGTTCAACTAGACCAACTTACATATGCTAATTACATGATGAAATGACTAATTAATTTCTAAGGCAAATATAAGAAGCAGTTTCAAAACACATTGAAGAGACATTTGTTATTGCGTCTTCCATTCCATTTTTGGTCACTCAAAATAGTAACTTCAAAGTACTACTTTGGCAAAGAGACTTCGGCAGCAAGTTTCCTGACTTTGATCATGAAAGTTTTCCATGAATTACGCCCGGCTATAAATCATTCTACATATATATACTGAGTTCAAATGCTGACACTGGCTTATTACAGAAGCAACAAGCCTTTATGCCATTATGTAGGGTTGGGTGTAATAATCACTTGTTGCCATTTTGCTAGGTCAACAAAGGGATACTCCTACTTAGTTTTCAATTTGTTTTTTTTTTTTTTGGATTTTGAACTGTGCTAGGTTACAATCCTCCCTCCACTTGCATATTACTACTTTCCAAAGTCATCAAAATGAACATACCTTAGGTTGTAACAATTTCATACCAAGCATAGTTGGGACATTAGAAAACAATAAGAAACGATAAACAAATTCAATCACAGATGCAAACATTAGCAATTCATCCAATTTTTTTTATCTACTGATCACTGACAGTTTCAAATAAATGAATCTAGTAACTCTAATCTTAGACACTGAAAAATACGAATGTGAAATGTTCACAGAAAACTTGCCTTCTGATTTAACTGCAACAAAGTATCAGTGCCATTTCTCCGTGTTTCTTCTGGAAGTGAAAGTAAAACTAAATCTAAGAGTGAATCTTTATCAATGCCTTCAAGATAAGTGGACAAAGCCTCTATTTCCTGTTGAATTGGAAGACCCTTGGACAGTGCATCTTCCAGTGCAAGCGCTCCCTACAAGTAAAATAACCAATCATGGGCCAAAACCCTTGTGCAACTAAACAAATAATTCCAGCCAAATACAAAAGTTACATGCTTCCAGAAACATTTAAGAGGGTAGTCTCCACAACAAAAACAAGTTAGACATACAATAGACTCGAAGTTGAAGGTCATTCAAGTCTTCTAAGATCATATATTACCAAGATTATAATTCATATCATCAAGGACTCAATTGAAGCTGATATCAAAAATAGACTTCTAAAGGGAACAATCCAGGAACAATGCACACCAAGCTGAAGACAAATTACTCTAAGTTGAACTTATGGACTTGAGTGGCAATCAAGAATAGCTCCACCATGAGAGGGACGTATCATTACCAATGCAAGCTTGTGAACAGAATGACTCTGACGAGCCTCCTCAGACCGAGCATAAAATGCCATACACAAAGCATTAATCTGTTGAAACATAAAATTGAAATGTCATCAAAATGCTGTCGATAGGGGGAAAAAGTTCAACAAGAAAAAGAAGAAGAAAAAAAGGAATTGTCTTGTATGAGAAAATATAGGATCAGTACGGTCCATCATTGCAACACTTTATGATCTGACAATGTTGATGTATCCATCCTTATTAATTACAATCTACAAAACATTTTGCTTCCTCAATGACAACAGTACTAACCTTCTTATAATATTAACTAAGAGAATATTTTTTGTCCTTTTCTTCTTTAGCATATAATTTCTTGCTTAACACCCAATAAGTATTAGATTGTATCAAGTATAAATGCCTGTTTTGGAACCAGTAAGAACTTCCACTAGTTAATACACTTATTTTAATTTGATATGCAAAGCTACGTCCCCATTATTTGGAGCAATGCATCTAAGTATACACAACCTCTCTAACAACGACGAACAATGTTTTACAAATCCTTTCACAAAGAACATATAGGTCAAATATCAATTTAAAATTAAGAACATCTAAAAAACATAATCATGAAGCATCAAGGCAGGTGCAGCGAAAATAAAAACATACACGCCTTAACTAAATTTTAACACTAAAAGGCTATTTCATATATCCTGGTTGAGTATCTAACTCTATATGTGAGCTACGGCCACTAGGGACAATTTACCAAATGTCTCTCACTTGGAACACATTGGTCAGAAATCAGAACATAATTTGAAACAACCAAGAATATCAAACATTCATAATCATCAAGCATCAGAGATGGGATGCAGCAGAACTCGAAACGTGGCACAGACAGGCGGAAAGAGAAGGAGGGTAGGGGGAAAGTGAGAGAGCAAGGGAGCACCCTCCTTCACTGCGATCTTTGGCAAGTCAAACAAAGAGACACACACACGCATGGGAAGCAATTTCAACACAACTACGTACATGGAGATTAGCCTCTGCCATTTTCTCAATCTGTGATGCTTTCTCACGCGCAACTGCTGCAGCCAATTCTGCTTTGGCGAGTTCCTGCACTTTTTTAAGCTCCAACTCTGCTTCATTTGCCTGCGATTTGAACTGTTAGTGTATGACCAAACAAATAGACAGATCTTTTATTCCATTCACAATGAAACTAACTGTTCCAAATCACCTTGTTTTCAAGCTCTGCTTTAAGCTTCTCCTCCATTTCCTCCTCAAGTGCTTTGAGTGCTGCAGCTGATCTCACCTTTTCTTTGTTCAATTCCTGAAATTTCAACAAAAACCCTCTCAGTGATGGTCAAACGAAGAGCTAAAACAGTATAAAGTTTCAAAGTTAAGGTTTTCAGTCGGGAGGAAGAAAGGGAAGGAGGGGAAAAACCGCTCCTTGAGTTGCAAATAGTTGAGGAACATTGTAGCAAAAACAAGTACTTTATGCATGAAACGATGATTGTGTTTAACTCATATCAATTCAGATTCAATTGGATACCAAGCAGAAAAAGGTGAGCAAAAAACAAATAAATTTCTCCAACACCTTCTCAAGAATGGCTTCCCTTTCAGCATACATAAGTTCCCTGGCCCTAGCATCTCTCAGCTCCTTCTCATATTTTGCCTGAGTTTAATAGAAAGAAAATAATAGAATTAAGCTTATAGTCTAAGATAAAATTTTTCTGGTATACTATGATGCTTTAACAGAAAACAATATCATGAAGTGTACAGCATAGACATTCTCTGGCTGGTTAAGTTCTTAAGACCTTTAACGCTCTCTTTTCTTCAGCATAAGCTCGAGCATCCAATTCTGCCCGTCTTTCCTCAGCTGCATGAATGGCTTGTAGGAAATCAAGAACCAGTTTTCCATCCCCAGATACATAGCTGCCCTCATTTTTCCCATGGGAATCCTACAAATTCATAATCATAAACCAGTATGTCCAACAATTAATAAATTGCGAACACAAACTTCTTCTATTCCCATAAAAATACATAGCTGATATCTCTCGCTAAAACATTGTATAAAAGATCTTCGTTAAAAGCAAACCCACCTCAGATTTGCTCGAGTCCAGCGTTGCTTCTTCACTGTCGTTTTTCAAATAATATTCACCAAGAAGGGAAGCAGGCTGCTTTGATGCATCATCCAGATCATCCTGGAAAAAACTTACCATGAAACACAACACCAAAATACACACACACACACACACACACACACACACACACATATATATATAACTCTTCTATGACAACTTCATCCTTCATGCAAAATTGAACATGTACCTTAGGTGAGTCAGAAATGGAGGGCTGGGGCACAGGCATGCTATTCTTTCCACTGTCTTGACTAGCTGTAGTTTCCTCTTGAAGTGAAGGCGTGATTTCAACTGCCTTCCGCTGATCATGATCAATAACCTCTGGCTTCTTCAAACCCACATTCTCTTCGGATTGTTTAGGTACATCCTCAGTTCTATCATCAGATTCATTCGTGCTAACGAAGGAGCTAGGTAACTGGTCCTCCGGCGTATGAATTATATGCTCTGGTACTTCCACTTCTGACGTATCATTCACCTGATTCTGACTTTCCACTTGTTTACTGCTTGAATCTTGGGAGGAACCTGAATCAACTACAAAGTCTTTCTCAGAAGGCTTCACATCTGAAGTTAAAACACTATTGCCCTGATCTGTGGAATAGCCAACCGACGGTAAATCTTCTTGAGAATCTTTGTCACTGTTTAAACCATGTTGATCTTGAACGGGCACCTTGGCTTCCACAGGAGTGCTATGCGGCTTTTCGCCAAAGTATTTGTCCAAGTAACCAGTTCTGTAAGCCACTACAGATGCAGCACCTGCAGCAACCCCTCCAAGTATCACGGGAAACGAAATTCCAGACTTGGCAGCTTCATCAGTCGATGGCCCTTTAGGCTCATTGCTCTGTGGTGTAGCTGATATTGCTCTCCTGGAAGCAAGATATGAGGGCATCTGCTCCAATGGTGCCAAAATATATAAACTAATGGAATTACTAAGCTGATCTCATAATAATGGCACAAATAGAAGACATTCAAATATATACTTCACGATTATCCAAAATAATAAACCTATCCACTAACTACATGTGCTTCAAAAGAAAAGAAAAATAACACGCCCACAGTAGTAAATTGTTCTGAAAACCCTTCAAAGGAATCAAAGCGGCACATAATGAGGTGAGTCCTTGAGTATGATTCTTTTCAGCCATTCAAAATCGGACAACAAGGTCCATTTTCCTCAGGGTTACAATAAATAACTAAAAGTGCAGAATCTCTGCCGAAATTTCTTCAGCCATTAAAAATCTGACAACAATCCACGGAGCAACTCATAATCCATTTCCAGAATACTCTCCTATGGGTTTCTAACATTCTTTATATCCTCTAATTAGTAACTGAAATAGAACTCTTCTAATGTAAAATTTCCCCACAAAATCTCCTCCAGAACATTTTAATGCACAGTGACCACTTGTAACTAAGACAAGCATCAATAAAAAATGTCAGCATCTAATTAACCACGGACTTTGTTTGTTCTTTCTTATGTTCTTCTCATTTTATACATCACACAGTCAATGACATTGAAATCCAATAAATGCATAGCCGGAAAACCTATGATTAACCTTATTCAATTAATCACAAGGAAACCAAGTATTTTAAACATGCCTGAGTTGTAATCTGTATCGGAATCCTTCCATTTGATCTACACGAAGAAAGCTGCAAAATTGACCTGTAAAAAAAATTCCAAAAAAAAAAAAAGAAACAGAAAAACAACTTGCTTTCAGCAAAAATTGATAACCTCTGCCCTAGCTTATCACAATTTATTCAGACATAATTCAATTCGAATATACATAAAGTGACAGTACACGCAGCAACGTATGAGTGAACTGAAGTACCTCCGCAGCATGGCAGATTGCAAATTAGTAATGCAGCTGGCAGTAAACGGAGTGCGTGCCGGAAGAAACTAATTGATCGGTGCAGAACCTGAAGAGGACGACTACTGGACGGAAAAATCGCGAAGCTGGAAGAACCCTAGGAACACTTCATCGAATTTTTCATGTCCTCCTTTGTTTTTCATACGGTAGTACAGAATAGGGAGGAATACCCGAAAGGGATTTTTTTTTTCCCCCACTTTTCTTTTTCTTTTTTTTTCGTTTTAGTTTTCTGTAATTATTCGATTGATGCAAATTACTGGAAATGGTGGAATTAAAAGAAATACGTAGTTTTTTCTTTTTTTAATAAAAACGATGTGTAAATTATTTCAACCGCAAACCATTACTCCAATTGATTATTGCGTAAATTTTTTAATTCCTAAATTATTTTTCGATTCAATTTTTCTCCATATCATTACACGAAAGATTTATTTTCATTTAAAATTCAAGTCAACACTCGGCAATATTTAATTTTATTATTTTTTAGAAAGAAAAAATTACTTATTTTTCAGAAAGAAAAAATTACTAACTTTTCCTTTATATTATAATTTATTAATTTAACCCCACTTATATTAAGTTGTTTAAAATGTGCCAAATTTTAAATTTGATCCACCAATTTTTCAATTTTACCTAATCTACTTTTATTTTTCTCAATCAAATTTTACTATTTAAAAATATAAAAAAGTTTACCCATACTTTGGAATTAAAGCTGAAATGTCCTTTGATAATCTTATTGGAGGGTCTGATATAATGGTGGTGCCTTGTTTCATTAAATGAAAAGCTCTAGAGGTTGGATGGGTTAAGGAGAATACCGGTGAATAATTTGATCGAGTGATTAGAATGACTGCAGCAAGGAAATGTGTAACTCTTAAAGAGTTTGGCACAACAGATTTATTTTTAACATTAGGGTTCGGAGTTGTGGGATTGGTTTATGGTATACAATTAGTTCGAGACAGAAAGTGTCGCTATGTGGTGGTAGAAGTTGACGGTAATTGTATGTGAAAGTAATTTTGAGTTCTTCTGAAACGTAAGGATTTAATGGTGCATTTATTTGAGATGTTAAGGAGCTGCTAGGAAGAAATTGATGCGTGGAAGTTAAGCTTGAGTTTGAAGAGGCTAATTTTATTGTTGATTGTTTAGCCTCGCTTGCGGCATTAAGTCCGGGTACCATAGTTTGGGTGCTCCATTGACTGCAGTGAAAACCATAGGCACTTCATGGTGCAACAGGTGTTTCACACCTCCATAACATTGTAATGTCATAATTTTAGGTTTCGGCCTCCTCTTTTGTTAAAAAGAAAAAACAAAAAAAACAAAAAAAAATTTAGTTACATTATCTTTTCTTATTTTCTCTCATTTTCACATTGAGTAAACTAAAAAATATCTAAAAAATATATTTATAACGAATATAGTCGGTTAAAATATTAAAAATAGTATCCAAATCAAATTTGGGATTAACTGAAATTAATGCATAATAATTTTAGTACACTTAAGTTTTTTTTTGGAAAATTGACTTCGACTTTTACCATTCTCAAAACATAATATAATCAATATTAATTGCTTAAGAGACTAGTAGACCATGACTAGGGATGTAGGTGATTTTTTACCCACATTTAAGAAGACTCCACTGAGGTGAATTTTTTTTTAAAAAAAAAAAAATAGTTGGCCATGATTATCGTGTTTGTGTTTATTTAGCAAATTTCAAGTTTCTCAGTTACTTGTAAAGTAATACATGAGGTATAGTGCTCTCTCTTACCTTATGTTTTCTTATGAATAAAGTCGATTGCAAGTGTCAAGGGATTGACTCGAACGTAGGTTTTCGAGTTAGATTCCCTATTAAATGTGAGTTATGTTGGGTTATGATCAAGTCGAGATTGGACTATGATCAGATCTTAGGGCTGCTAATTAATCGGACTTACCCGATTACCCGCTTGACCCGATTCTTGTTCGGGTTATTCGGTTCGGCCAATCGGTCGAATTCGAGAAATTTCGGCCACACCCGACTACCCGATGTGTTTTCTCGGTTCAGTTTCGGTTTTAGACAGTGTTATTCAGGAACCGTCCAAATACCCGAATACTATATAATTTAATTAATTTTAAATATTTGATCAATTAATTGTATGTCATATATAGGAATAATTTAGGGTTTTGTCATTTTTTCTCCTCTTTCGTTTTTTTTCCCCATTTCTCTCTGCCTTGTTTCTTCTGGGTGCCGATGTCGCCGCGACGGTATTGAAACGCCGTCGACGTTTCGACCACAAACCCACCACCACAATCACACACACCACTTCACCACCTCCCATTTCCTTCCAGTTATCTATCAATCGGTCCAATCCTTCTGGGAGGCAAAACTCTCCCAATAAACAGAAACGAGGCACCACCATATATTCAAGTATCAAATTTACGGCCATTCTCATCGTAGTCACTTGTAAGTTTCAAATGAATGTTAGTTTTCAAATTTAAAAAGAGTCGTGTTAAAAACCGCCAGGAAAAAGATAAAGACCGCCGTAACAAAAAACAATTCTGCCCTTTTCATTTAGTTATAGACCGCATGGTAAAGGATATAGACCGCCGTAAAAAATACCATTCTATCCTTTTCATTTTTTCAGTCCAAAATGAGTGATTCAGAGGTAAGAAAAAAAAATGATTGGACTTGTGAAATTTTAGACCGAAATAGACCAAACCGGTAGAAATACCGTCTGAAAGAAGTCCGAACTTCTGTGGCGGCTATTTTTGAAATGGCCACCGCCCGCAACGTCTAAATCAACAAGGGACGCTGGTTCTGCCGTCCATTCTCGTTCGAATCGGTGTGGTAATTGGCTCGCTTATTCCAGGCCGGTGTGTGACGCGGCTCGGGTATTTTTTTTATTTCAGTTTTATTAATTTATTTAGTTAATTTATCATATTTTTTTAATTATTGCATCATAATTAAATTGAATAGAATTCATTTAAGTTATTTGTTCATTCAAATCTATTATTTTATGCCATTTTAAGGTTTTTTTCTTTAGTAAGAGTAATTAGGTATTTTATTAATAAGTAATTTAGAGTGTATGTTTGAAATTTGCAGGATACAGTTGAAAACAAAGATCACAGTGTTTTCTTTAACACTTCTGAGATATTCCAATCAGAGGATGACGTTATTTTACACGCCAAAGAGATTGCAATCAGCAATGGTTTTGAATTAGTGAGAAATTCGTGGAAGGACAACGGTTATTTTCTGAAATGCAACAAAGGTGGACGGTACAGGCTAGAGAGGTACGGAGATGGAACCAATAAGCGCCGACCAAATTCGAAGACCCAAGTGACTGGGTATAAATTTGAGATGTTCATCAGAAGATATAAAGAATAGCCAAGCGATGTGTACATAATCTGTCCAAAGATCGGTGAAAAGGCAGAGCACAATTATTCGATGATACAACATCCAGAGGTTCATCGCCAGATGAGTAAGCTGAGCGAGAGAGCAAAAATGATGATAGAAGACATGTCTGCGTCGGGAGCAAGGCCGATTTACATTCTAAAGGCAATTCAAAAGAAGTATCCAGATGACCAGGTTACGAAGCACTAAATTTACAACTACAAAAATAAACTGTGCAAGATAGGGTGCATGGTACTTGAAGGCACAGGTCTTGATTTTGCTAACAGGACTTTTCAATTGGTCCAGGAACACAACTACATAATTGTGATGGACTCAAATCAGAATACAATAGCCTTGACCAGGATTTTCATGGTGCACCCTAAATCAGTGAGGTTGTATAGAGCGTACCACTTGGTCATTGGTATGGATAACACGTACAAACCCAATAGGTACTAAATGCCTTTTTTTAAATTCATCGGGATGACACCGCGCAACAACTTTTTGATTGCCTATGTTCTGTTGGGTTGCTGAGACTGCTGAATCTATCAGTGGGCGTTGTTATAGTTGAGGCTATTAATTGGAGATAGAGAGCAACCAAAGGTTTTATTTCTGATCAAGAGTCAAGGTTAATGACACCAATCAGTGATGTTTTTCCTGAGTCTAGCCACTTGTTGTACACATGGCATATCAGCAAAGATGTGAAAACCAAAATCCAGAGTCTCTACGGCGACACTTCAGTATTGATTAAAAAGTTCCGGGAAGGAAGGTAGTCAAAAATTATAAAAGCTGAAACTGTGGAGATATATGAAGATCTAGTCAGGACCATGGAGTAATTGTAAGTCTTAATAAGTTTTTTTCGAATAATTCTATTTTTTTTTGTGTATTTAAGTAGAATATTTGGTTATTAGTCAGAACCATTAGCACATCTTGCCCTCGCTGAATGAGTGTATGAGCTGAGGAGAAGGCATCCTAACTGAGGGAATCTAAGCCAAATATTGCCCGCATACACTTCAGAAAACTCAACCTTGTAGTTGTCGCCACTCATCGGCCTCGATGCAAGTTGCGGGACAACAATCGACATAGGAAATTATCTGCCGCGATCTGGCATCTATGGCTCAACGAAATTCCTGAAATCGATACATCAAGTGTAAATTGTTTTAGGAACAAGCTTGTACATCTCCTTACCGAATGGCTCCCACACCACCTACAAATTAAAAAATTATTTATAGATATTCATCAATAATTAATAGAAATTAAAAAACAAAAAAACAACAAAATCAAAAAATTAAACTTACATCATCCGGGGTTAACCCGTCAATATCCTTCCATAACTTCTTCAACCGCACCTCTCCCTCAACAGCAGTACATGGGGCTGGTTTCCACCGTGCCGCTCTGGGTCCAGAGCCCACCTAGTGTGTTATGAGTCCAGAAGATCAAGAAATACTTATATATCCAGGCTAGCAATAGAGTCAAACAACTCCCCATCTTCTTGACATACCTCTACTAGCAACCCCTAGCTAGCGGTAAAGGTATGCTAGAGTGGCATATTTCCAGGAAAGATGTGTAACACCATAAAGGTCATAAAAAACCTCGTGCATCAACTGTGCATGTATTCTGCCGCCCTCACTTTTGTCAACAAACAATGTGGCACTCAACATTATCCACATCCACGCAGTGGCCAATACATCTGGGACTGTGCTATCCCGGACTCGGTCCATGACAAATGTCTCTAGCATAGCACTACTCTTATAGTTCAGGGTTCGCATATCTGTCTCAGATATGTTCAAAAGACCCATACACTGGTTCTTCACTGTCTCCCACTTGGGAACGGTCGTCACCATCTCTCCCTCCACAGGGATTCCCAAAA